GTGATAAACAAGATAATTAAATGTTTATGTGATAAACATATTAATTATTAAAATAAGCTAATCAATTTTTTAAGAAGCCCGAGAGCTGACACGACCTCTGACACAGGCTGGTAGCCCGTGTCAGAGGCCGTGTCAGGAGGAGTGACTAAAAATGCTGTTCAAAGTTGCTCTCGGCATTCTGACACGGGTTCCGACACGGGCTGTTAGCCCGTGTCGGGGCCAGTGTCACCACAACAGAAAGTCCTCCAAAGGCTTTTAAACCTGACACGACCTCTGACACGGGCCGTGTCAGGTGGAATGAGTCGTGTGGATGATTTTTGATCAAAAACGAGTTGTTTTGACTTAATATTAGTCATTACTACATCAACATATTAAATTGGTGAATTTATATGTTGAATTCATGTGATGAATGGTTAATTTAGGGATGATCATGAGCCTTTTATTCATAATGAATGAATGATTGCATTTTTATTCATAATGAATGGATGTTTGAATGTTTTATTCAATATGATTGAATGTTGCATTTTATTCAATGAGATTGAACAAATGTAATTTATTTTGACCTGCGAGTCTCTTGAATTATGATTTGTAAAATTTTAAATTTTTGTATCGTTAGAAAGATTAGATCAAGGTGGAGACCGTTTGATGCAAAAGGCCCACGCTAGTGTGGGTAATTTTACAAGTTGTAAATCTCATGTGCTTGTACGGGTAGATAAAATAAATTGTAATAGAAGTAGTTCTATTTATTTGTTTTATCACGTACATAGACATAGACCCATTTTGGCTCGAATGGGTCGTATAGGCAAGGACATGATCATCCCACCGTATGCATGCATTAGATGTATGTTAGGTTTATTTATGTTTTCGATTCATGTGTTGGATGAAATAATAAATAAACGTAAAGATGGTAAACGATGATACGGAACCATAAAGAATTAATAAGATTAATTCATATCATATCAATAATGGATAAAAATAAGCTGGGACTTATTAATCCAGGCCTTCCATCAAAAAGTAGACGACATGAGATGCTATGATGCACTATCACTGACCATGAGTCGTGGGGTGGTTTTGTGTCGAAAGTTGTGATCCCTACTACGTATATTGATACTTATGAGACGGATTCCTCTTTGTGTTGACCATGAGTCGTGGGACACTCTGATGGGCCGTTATCATGAAAGTTTTGATGGGTTTGATTTGACACCGAGTAATATATACGGTCATATTCTTGAGGTATATAAAGAAAGGTGAGGCAAAATATCTTGAAGGTTGTATATTGATACAATTGTCAAAAAGTTGACTACCAGTATAAATGTTCCATGCGTACTCATATTCTTGGGATATGGAATATTGTTATTGGACTTCAAGCCCACTATGAAAATTAGATTTTCATCATTAAAATGGGGTTTTAATTAAATTAGTTGGAGACATTTAATATTTAAAGACCTAATATTAAATGAATATGAATTCCATAGTCTAATTATTTTCTGCTTCGTGTGGTGTTTGGTAGATCAGTCTACTAAAATGGCTAAAAATCCAATTCCCATCCTAACTATTCAACAAAATAAAAGGAAATTTAATAATCATGGTTCATTCACAATTTGGCATGCTAGATTAGGTCATATATCTGAAAAGAGGATTCACAAATTGGGACCAAAACTCGACCTTAGGGGAGAGGAAAGGTTGCCTACTTGTGAGTCATGTCTTAAAGGTAAAATGACTAAATCACCATTTGTAGGACAAGTGGAGCGAGCTAAAGGTCTATTGGATTTGATCCATACAGATGTTTGTGGACCACTAAATGTTAGTGCCAAGGGGAACTACCACTACTTCATAATATTTACTGATGATTATTCACGGTATGGTTATGTATACCTATTAAGGTACAAATCTGAAGTATTTGAAAAGTTCAAAGAATTCAGAAATGAAGTGGAGAAACAAATTGGTCGTAGTATTAAAGTTCTCCGATCGGATCGAGGTGGTGAATACTTAACCAATGAGTTTCTTGATTATTTAAGAGATAATGGGATTATTTCACAGTGGACACCTCCTGGAACTCCACAACTCAATGGGGTTTCAAAAAGGAGGAATCGAACATTGTTAGACATGGTTCGATCGATGATGAGTTCCACTAATTTACCTCTTTTATTCTGGGGTTATGCCTTAGAAACAGCAGCACATATTTTGAATAGAGTGCCAAGTAAAGTTGTACCCAGTACACCATATGAGATATGGTATGGCAAAACATCCTCATACAAATATTTAAAAGTATGGGGTTGTACTGCTTATGTGAAGCAGTTAGTGGGAGGTAAGTTGGATATGAGATCCATCTTATGCAAATTTGTGGGGTATCCAAAAGAGTCTATTGGGTACTATTTCTATGACCCCTCTGAACAAAAGGTGTTTGTTTCGAGGAATGCTGTATTTTTAGAGGAAGAATGTCTCTCTAAGAATGGCGGAGTTGTAGAACTTAACGAAGAACCACAAGAAATTCCACTAAGTACCACAAATAACATACCAGTAGAGACTGGACCATCTGAAACACAACCTCTTCGGAGATCTGAAAGGATTTCTAGGGCACCTGAAAGGTTATACCTATTGTCAAAAGACAATGAAGAGGGACTCCTTTTGGATAATGATCCAATAAGCTATGATGAGGCAATGTTGGACATTGACTCAGATAAATGGCAAGAAGCTATGCAATCCGAAATAGATT